ACCCGATCTGAGGGCGCCGCCCCACACGAAGGAGAGGTCTCCGCCACCGTGCTCGTTCGTCAGAGGACGGAGAGTCCGGTCGGCAGCGACCACTCCACGGGACTGGTGAGACAGACCACCGAGTGCTTCGTGCCGTCACAGCAGCTGGACCTTGAGCTGGAAGACGCCGAGAGGACGGAGGCAGCACAGCCATGGCTGAGAAAAACGAACGCTATCTCATTAGAGACCACGGATGTCGAAGACAATGAACTGAGATTGCAGGTGACAGAGAGTGCAGACGTAACAAAGACTAGGTCAGACAATAGCGAGGTGATAGATAATTCTGAGAAGGTTACGAATCCCACCGATTGCGAGCATAGTAACCAGATGACGGGTAATTTCGACCAAAGAGCAGCACGAGCAAGACTCTCCATCCCATTAATCACCCACTCATCCCAGCCAGCCCCAAAGCTGAGCACTTCCTCCGAAATCTCCGATCTGAGGAGATTAAGTGTCGAAACGGACAGCTCAGAACTGCGAAAACTGAGCGTGGAAACGCTCAGTTCAGACATTCGACTAACCAGTGCTGCGACTGACGACTCCGAACTGCGGAAGATCAGTTTCCCGACGGACAGCTCCGAGCTCAGGAAGCTCAGTGAGGCCACCGACAGTGAGCTGCGGAAGCTCAGCCTGCTGACGGACAGTTCGGAGGGCAGCGAGGCCCTGATGGGGCGTGTCCGTCTGCTGACCGCCGGGTCAGAGACCACTTTCAGCCTGGTGTCGCCGCTGGTCGACGAGCCGGACGATGATACGGTGGGTGGTTTGTCTATGTTATGTACTACATACTATGGTAGAAAATAAATAAAAGTTAGCGTAGATATTTTCTGCATTTCTATGCCGTAAGAATATATGTTTCTCATACAATTACATTAGTGGTTCAATATGTAAAAGAACGATAAAAATGACGTTCATTCTCCCCATTAGCTTGCAAATTCTGTATCAGCATACTGTATGGGTTTGAATGGTAACCTCGTCTTCAAACTATTTCCTCGTACTGTACCAATGATGCCCGGTTCCCGGGGCGTATTACCTCGCTGTAACAATGCAGCTGCAGTGTCAGCCTCCATGACGCCGACCATTGACGCCGACACATGCCGACCGCCCACGCTATGTGGATGACGTCAGCAACAGGACCAGACGCGGATTGTTCCTCTCAATCATGTGCCAAATAAAACAAGCCACCCACTCGCTGTTCAAAGAGCATGATTTATACGGAAGAAATTTTGCGTTCACGTGCTCAGTAAAACGTTTCTTGGCCTCATTCGCAGTTTTTTCTTCCTTAATTTGTTCACGAATTGCGATGATATACCTACCTTAAAAGCATGTCCTATTACGTTATGCGATGCATGTTCGTATGCATTATTTCAATGTGTCGTCTCGTCGCATCACGTGCCCCTCACCTCTGACCTGGACCCCGTCCCCGGCAGACCCCGGACTCGGCCCGGACCACGTACTGGCCGCAGCCGTCGTTCGACCGGACTGAACCGGACGGCGGCCGGTCTCTCGGCCCGCTCCTGGCTCCTGACTTCACTCTGGAGGACTTTCGGACGGTGGCGGTCCTCGGGCGCGGCCACTTCGGCAAGGCGAGTCATTGGCAAAAAATAACTGTCACAACGATGTCAGAGTGTTCACACGATAATTTCGTTTCAAAAAAAGTTTGCCAGATAGGTTGCCATTCACGATCAACGTTTTCTAAATGAATAGCTGCAGCGGTCAAAGTAAATACAGTCCAGTACCTATTTGTATACCTATGGACTAACCCGAGGCACCCACGCTAACCCTTCACGTCTCGTCCGCAGGTGATTTTGTCCCAGCGGCGCAGCACGGCCGAGTACTACGCCATCAAGTCGCTGAAGAAGGCCGACGTGATGGACCGCGACGAGTTGGAGTCGCTGCTCGCCGAGAAACGTATTCTGGAGCTGGTGACGGCCGTGCGTCACCCGTTCCTGGTCAACCTGTTCGGGTGTCTGCAGACCCCGGTCAGTGGCGGGGAGGGTCGCAGCGGCTAGGGGTGGATCCGGTGCTATACGGGAGAGGAACGGGAACGGGGAAGGTAACAGGGCGCAGGAGCAGCACTCTACTGACCGTGGGTAGTAAAGCGCCTCACTGTAGTTTGTTCATGGGATGGAGACGGGGTGACGTTGAAAAGTTACCTATATCGTCGGCAATAAAATGAATGCAGGGAACGTCCTTAACAAGAAACGTTTAGACCTTCAGACCTCCGAGGTTTCTTTATTTTTAGACATGATATTGAACAACATATCTCTGTCGTAGAAGCATCAAGTCCTTTCAGTTTTGTCCAAATATCTCGTCATTTTCAAATAACGCCGATCGCCGGAGACCGTGACATCTTCTTTCTCCGCAGACGCACGTGTGCTTTGTGATGGAGTACGCGCCCGGCGGCGACCTGATGATGCACATCCAGTCGGGCGTGTTCTCAGAGTCGCGTGCTGTGTTCTACGCGGCCTGCGTGCTCCTGGGGCTGCAGTTCCTCCACCAGCACGACATCATCTATCGGTCAGTGGACAGTGATGCAACAGAGATCAGCCCGCAGACTACGGTATAGCAGAGAAGTGGTCGCTAAAGTTGCCCAGTGTGCGTATTTGGATTTTACCATGTTATCAAAGCTGTGATAGGTTGCCAAGCCTATGGCATTCACCGCACCCCTAACGTCCTCTCCTACGCAGAGACCTGAAGCTGGACAACCTGCTGATGGACGCGGAGGGGTTCGTCAAGCTGGCCGACTTCGGCCTCTGCAAGGAGGGCGTCGGCCGCTTCGGCCGCACGGGCACCTTCTGCGGCACCCCGGAGTTCCTGGCGCCCGAGGTGCTCACCGAACAGACGTACACGCGCGCCGTCGACTGGTGGGGACTGGGGGTGCTCATCTTCCAGATGCTGGTCGGCGAGTCGCCGTTCCCGGGCGCTGACGAGCAGGAGGTGTTCGAGAACATCATCCAGGCGGCGCCGCGTTTCCCGGCCCAGCTCTCGCTGCCGGCCGTAGCCGTAATGCGCAGGGTGAGCGGAAGGAGAGGGTCGGCAGGGATGGGGTGGGGGTGCCTGGACATACACATTACCTAGTTATCAATTAACGAATAAGTTTTGAGGTAAATGTCATCGACATATGCAGATCGTCAATCGTGTGACACACAATCATGAAATAACGATACAGAATTTCTTATTGTCAAATTAACTCAGTCCAGAACCATCCAAAGGTTTGACGCTCTTATCAAGTCGCCAGTATTTAGCTCCCTGTCCATTCCACTGTCATCCAGTATCCACCGCTGTCTGCCCAGCTGACGCCCCTGCTCCCCCCCGCGCCGCCAGCTGCTGCGGAAGGACCCGGTGCGCCGGCTGGGGTCCGGCAGCGGAGGAGCCCGCGACGTCCAGCGCCAGGCGTTCTTCTCCAGCGTGCAGTGGGAGGAGCTGGCCGCGCGCCGGGTCCCACCTCCGTTCGTGCCCGTCCTGGTCAGTGGCGCTGTGATAAATCTAAAATAGATCTGAGTTACGGCTATATCATGGATGTGATAATATTAGCTCATCCGTTGCTATATGTTTACCTACTAAATGTATGCAGCATAGTCGAAGCGTAGTCAAAAAGAAAACTTTCATAATTTTGAAATTCGACAGACTGTCGACGCGCTTACCATTGTGAATTGGCAGTGCACTGCCCCTGGCCCCCTCACGTGGACCACCTGGATCGTGTCTTTTGCCAATGCTACTCGATGGTTGAAATACTTAACACGACTTTGTTTCCACTTCCCAGGACAGCATTGAGGACGTATCGAACTTTGACGAGACGTTCACGGTGGAGCGGGCGATCCTGACGCCGCCGGTGTCGCACCGCGCCATCAGCAGCAGCGAGCAGAGCCTGTTCAGTCACTTCACCTACACAGCTGACTGGTGCTGATCCTGCTGACGCTGCGGCATGCTCAGCGGCTGGGTCCGCGCAGTCTCGCTGCAGGCTACATGACTTCTGGGCCGTAACCGTGCCGGGCCCTTTAGTCGATGAAATTGAAACGTAAATGATGCGGAGTGAAAGGTTTCGCAGTACCAGAGAAGAAAATAATTGCACCCGCAAGCCAGCCGGCTGTGAATAATATTGCTGGAACCCCAGGCGATAGATGCTCAATCGATCGGCGAACTAGAGCCTATGTAACAACAGTACCTAATGTACCTAATGTAACTAAGGCGTTGCGACTGCGCCTCCATGGTCTCCATCATCCATAACGGGCTGAGTAATGTGGAATGTGTATTCTTCAATGTGAAGGACTCAAAACGTAATCGGTTGTGATGGTGAGCTTCGGTTAAAGCGAAAATACAAAACGTGAATCATGCCTTCTGTAATGTGTAGGTACCTATTTACCGCACTTCAAATACAGGTGACAAGTGTGAAGTGACAACTGACATAGGTATTTATAGTGCTGCTAAGGTCTTGGTACTTTACACTTGACTCTTCAGGAACTTATTAACCCGCGCCCGGGGGCGATGGTCTGATAGTGACACATCGAAGTGGGTTCCCTATCCCCTCTATTTCAACATAGCAGCAGCAGGTGAACAGAACAGAGGACAAACATCACTATCGAAGCGGCGGTGAAAAGTCATTAAATTAAGAAAGAAATCACTTCGTTCCTGTTAAGGTCAGGCTATAATCAGGTAGTCCTACTACGAAATACCTCATATCTCCTGATTTGGTGAAAAAGATGCACTTCTTGACAGTAGGTACTAAGACCACATTGGTTGACGTCACTGATAAGGCGATTGTTTTTTGTTTTTGTGTATTAATTATGCATATAGGTATGTATAGATCTATACAGGTATGTATAGATCTATACTGTAAAAAAAACAATTTTCACAAACCTTTTTTAATGAATATTTAGGTGATCTTTTTGCACCCTTTACATTATTTTAAATCAATTCCCTACAGCATAAAAATATAGTGGCCGCAACTTAAATTTCAAAGCTGGTAGCGAGCGAGTTGCCACGCAACGTCAACACAATGCATTGCTTTTTCTGCTATTGAACAGTATTTATTCCAATCACTTTTGTTTGTGTGATTCATTTGTCAACAAGTTTGTCAAGAGAGTTGTTACTTGTTGTGGAGAGTTGTTGGTTGGGTACGCATTTGTGATTAATAGTTAGTATTCCAACTTAATTCCAACATTTGGTTGAAGGTCAATCGGAACCACAGGTCGCTTCCAATTCTTTTAATTTTCTGGCACTGTAATCAAAATCAAGTTTGAGCGATGGGTGCAGTGCTCGGGATATGCACAGCTTCACAGGTATGATATGATTTTATTTTTGTTTGCATTTATATCAATAGTTGTATGCTTTCTCAGCTGTTTTAGTTAGGATAATTCAAATATTTTTCCTATACCATTTTGATTTGGTGGTACATACCTGGTATAGGTACCTAACTAGGTTCCTAGATTAAGATACTTCATTGAAATGAATGAAATTTGAAGCTCAAAGTAAAGGTGACTGAGAGTATTTGGTGCAACTGATTGTTCTCATGTTTTTGGCTCAGCTGGCATGCTGTTGTGGGTCAGCTGCCTGCAGCCTGTGCTGCTCGGCTTGCCCATCATGCCGCAATTCAACAAGCTCGCGTATCATGTACGCCATCATGCTGCTGGCTGTGACTGCACTATCATGTGTGCTGCTGGCACCCGGCCTGCAAGATCAGCTGCAAAAGGTCAGCTCTGTTGGGAAGGTTGCAGAATAGTTGTCTTCCTTGACTAAGCCAAAAATCAACATGCATGGCAATTGGCATGCCAGTGCTTCATTGTTTTCAGAGGTTATCTGATCTGGGAGAGTGTGCTAAACTTCAGTTTAACAGTTAATGGTACACTGAAGCCTTGAGGCTCAGTAAAACATGGGATAATTTACTCTAGCCAAGTGGTATCACAATGACAATATTTAAGTCAGGGCTGCAAACAGCATGAGAATCCTCAATTTTAGCCCATTCCTGGAGAATGAAATATGTCAGAAGAACAGTGACCAGCCAGATTTTACAGCCATTGCTCACAATATTGTGTGCCTACTGCCTGATGCATTCTGGAATGTACCTACCTATCCTATCTCAGCTGGATGCATTTTCATCACATAGGATGAAAAACTTCAAGCATTAGGGGCTAGGACATACCTATATTTGTTAAAGAGAATATAGTTATTTTGGTGATTCTCACAGTTCTGGCAGTTCTGGCAATCTCTGGCCAGAACTGTCAACTCTGGCTGATGCTGAATCCTACACTGTCTTGGCATCTCTGGTTATAAGGAAATATATCACTTTTAACATGGAGTTTTGAACTGGAATAGCAGTTTTGTAGCTTGAGCTGAGACTAGATTAGCACAAATCAAAATGAGGGACTTTCGCAGGAATGTGGTGACTAAAAGAAAAATGCCCATAATGCAGCTACCTCAGCATCAGCCAATCAGCATGCAGCTGGTTTTTTACTGCTCAACATGATTGGTCAATGTGTAATAAGCTTCTATGCCAAACACTATTATATACATAGAATATAGTTCTTTCTATACCTATGAAAAAGTTAAATTCCTTTTGTTAATTTTAATCATTTTCTATTTTGATCATTTTAAGCATAAAGATTGGAAAACTGCAGCAGAAACAAACTAATTTGAGAGAAGTAGTAATTTTCATTTAATTAACAGTGCAGTAATTCAGTAATTCTTGTAACATCCCGGCGTGTGCAGGTGCCGTTTTGCGGTGACCAGCTGGACTGCAGCACGGCGGTCGGCTACATGGCCGTCTACCGCGTCTGCTTCATCACCACCCTGTTCTTCCTGCTCATGGCGCTGCTCATGATCAACGTCAAATCGTCCAAGGACGGCCGGGCCGGTCTCCAGAATGGGTCAGTAGGCGGGGGTGTAGGGCGGCCGGGCCGGTCTCCAGAACGGGTCAGTAGACGGGGGTGCAGGGCGGCCGGGCCGGTCTCCAGAACGGGTCAGTAGACGGGGGGAGCAGGGCGGCCGGGCCGGTCTCCAGAACGGGTCAGTAGACGGGGGTGCAGGGCGGCCGGGCCGGTCTCCAGAACGGGTCAGTAGACGGGGGGTGCAGGGCGGCCGGGCCGGTCTCCAGAACGGGTCAGTAGACGGGGGGTGCAGGGCGGCCGGGCCGGTCTCCAGAACGGGTCAGTAGACGGGGGGAGCAGGGCGGCCGGGCCGGTCTCCAGAACGGGTCAGTAGACGGGGGGTGCAGGGCGGCCGGGCCGGTCTCCAGAACGGGTCAGTAGACGGGGGTGCAGGGCGGCCGCAGGGGATACGTTGACCTTCATTTGAAGCTGTTGCTCATAAGTGATTTGGGGATGCCACTTATTACACTTGATTCACCGGCCACCGCCCAAAGAGTGTTTTCATGAATGTAGAACATTTAGATTTCTTAAGTCTCGACAATCTGTTGTTACTTGTTAGGTACTTGGTCTAGTTAGGTGAATATCTTTCGTGGAAAATAACAGTACCTACTGACTACTGACTTATTTCCAGATTCTGGGCAATCAAGTATCTGATACTAATAGGCGGCATGGTAGGATCATTCTTCATCCCAGGTGAGCGGAATTGGGCGCAGGCGAGGCATATTTTCCGATTTCGCTAAGACAAGGTACGAGATAAAGGCGTGAGAGGAATAGCAATTCTTCGTATTTGATCATATAGTTAATGTTAGCGTGCCATAGTTACGGTTAAAATAATGCTGCCTATTGTGTTTTTTCGACTTCTCCGTCGCTAATTGTTGACTGTTGTCCGCGCCGGTTTTTTCAGCGGGTGGCCTGACGTTCTGGATGTATTTCGGAATGATCGGCGGCTTCCTGTTTATTCTGATCCAGCTGATCCTGATCATCGACTTCGCCCACAGCTGGGCCGAATCCTGGGTACGTGCCGGCATGATGACTCTTTGACGATGCTAATATGTAGTCATTCAGCTAACATGTACCTATAAGCGTAGTATTACGAAAAGTGCTCGACGAAAGCCATCTTGATGGAAAAAAAAATTTGAAAAGTTCGCTAGTACGACAATTTCGTCTTCAAAAACCGGTCTCAAAGCCACATGTTGCCAGGCCTGTTGACTGTTGGGTGTTCTGATCTCACCATTAGCGTGACCCGCTGGACCGCGATCGGTAGTCCCCTGACTCGGCCAGTCCCCTCGTCCCTCTGACACCGCCCGTCTGCCCGTCCAGGTGTCCCTCTGACACCGCCCGTCTGCCCGTCCAGGTGTCCCTCTGACACCGCCCGTCTGTCCGTCCAGGTGTCCCTCTGACACCGCCCGTCTGTCCGTCCAGGTGCCCCTCTGACACCGCCCGTCCAGGTGTCCCTCTGACGCCGCCCGTCCAGGTGTCCCTCTGACACCGCCCGTCTGTCCGTCCAGGTGTCCCTCTGACACCGCCCGTCTGTCCGTCCAGGTGTCCCTCTGACACCGCCCGTCTGTCCGTCCAGGTGTCCCTCTGACGCCGCCCGGCTGCCCGTCCAGGTGTCCCTCTGACACCGCCCGTCTGCCCGTCCAGGTGTCCCTCTGACACCGCCCGGCTGCCCGTCCAGGTGTCCCTCTGACACCGCCCGTCTGCCCGTCCAGGTGTCCCTCTGACACCGCCCGTCTGTCCGTCCAGGTGTCCCTCTGACACCGCCCGTCTGTCCGTCCAGGTGTCCCTCTGACACCGCCCGTCTGTCCGTCCAGGTGTCCCTCTGACGCCGCCCGGCTGCCCGTCCAGGTGTCCCTCTGACACCGCCCGTCTGCCCGTCCAGGTGTCCCTCTGACACCGCCCGTCTGCCCGTCCAGGTGTCCCTCTGACACCGCCCGTCTGTCCGTCCAGGTGTCCCTCTGACACCGCCCGTCTCTCCGTCCAGGTGTCCCGCTACGAGGAGACCGAGTCCAAGGCCTGGTACTGCGCGCTGCTCTTCTTCACCTTCCTCCAGTACGCGCTGGCCATCACCGCCGTCGGCCTGTTCTTCGCCTTCTACACGCGGCCGGATGGCTGCGCCACCCACAAGTTCTTCATCAGCATCAACCTGATCCTGTGCGTGGCGGTGTCGGTGCTGTCGGTGCTGCCCAAGGTGCAGGCTGCGCAGCCCAACTCTGGTCTGCTGCAGTCGGCCGCCGTCACCCTGTACACCATGTACCTGACCTGGAGCGCCATGGCCAACCAGCCCGGTACGCCGTCAGCCTGTGAACGGCACTCGCTAGTGGTTCTATGTGGCCGTCCGGACCTAATTACCCATTACGTTTCGACTGGGGCGTTCCACGACAAATCGACAAGTGCCCTGCACCCTCATATTTTATTTTTTGCTTAAAATTGGTCTAATGGGTTGTGATGGGCGGGGAAGCCAGCTGTGGCAATGATTTTTTTCTTCGAACAACGGTTTCCGAGATATAAAGCCTCGGGCAATTCCTGGATATTTAGCCTCGGGCAATTCCTGGATATTTAGCCTCGGGCAATTCCTGGAGTTTGCGCTGCAGCCCTATGTTTGGCGGCCTATAACTCAGAAACTATTGGTTTTTTTTTACGATAAAAACTTTATATGGTTCAACTCACAATCAACCAAGAAACATTTTGGCTATCTCGGATTTTCAATTCTTGAAAATTTTGATCACGTGACCTTTTGTCCTATTTTTCGAAGAGTGACTTTGATATTTTCCCCACTGAAAGTTGCAATTTTGTCTGATGACGATTAAAGCCTTATCAATTGTCATTCATATGCGATAATAAAACAGTGGTTATCGCCCTGCGTTCACCAGCTCAGGTCAGGTCATTTTTATGTGTCGTGGTCTGTCCATTATTACGAGCGGGAGTGACAGCGAGATCTCGAGAATAAAGCAAGATAGCGACAAGCGGTAAACGGTAAAGTGTACACACGGATAAGGTCTATAATTTTTACTGAGGTCATTTTCAGGTCAAGTCAAAGATGACGTCGCAGGAGCTAAAAGGAAGTCAAAATAGCGGCACTATACATATATATGAAGTTTTTCTCGAATAACTTTCAAGGTATCCCACCTAGGAACAAACTAATAGCACCATCGTGATCCTCTCGTCGATCCGCATCGAAACATAGGTATGTATGTTGACCTCGAAAGGTCGAAAGGTCAAAAGTTGACCTTAGATCACGTGACCTAAGGTCAACTTTTGACCTTTCGACCTTTCGAGGTCAAAATACATATTTTTCGATGCGGATCGACGAGAGGATCACGATGGTGCTATTAGTTTGTTCCTAGTTGGGATACCTTGAAAGTTATTCGAGAAAAACTTCATATATATGTATTTTGCCGCTATTTTGACTTCCTTTTAGCTCCTGTGACGTCATCTTTGACTTGACCTGAAAATGACCTCAGTAAAAATTATAGACCTTATCCGTGTGTACCCTTTACCGTTTACCGCTTGTCGCTATCTTGCTTTATTCTCGAGATCTCGCTGTCGCTCCCGCTCGTAATAATGGACAGGTCATAACAATGACCTGACCTGAGGTCAACGCAGGGCGATAACCACTTTTTTATTATCGCATATGAATGACACTTGATAAGGCTTTAATCGTCATCAGACAAAAATGCAACTTTCAGTGGGGAAAATATCAAGGTCACTCTTCGAAAAATAGGACAAAAGGTCACGTGATCAAAATTTTCAAAAATTGAAAATCCGAGATAGCCAAAATGTTTGTTAGTTGATTGTGTGTTGAACCATATAAAGTTTTTATCGTAAAAAAGGCCAATAGTTTCTGAGTTATAGGCCGCCAAACATAGGGCTGCAGCGCGAACTCCAGGAATTGCCCGAGGCTATATCTCGGAAACCGTTGTTCGAAGAAAAAAATCCTTGCCGCAGCTGGCTTCCCCGCCCATCACAACCCCTTACACCAGTTTTCAACGAAGAATAAAATATGAGGGTGCAAATTTAATTTTTTATTTGTCGATTTGTCGTGGAACGCCCCGACTGTGTCTGCTTTCTGGAAATATGCATTTAGGTACTACGCTCCTGCTACGAATATTTGTCCATTCAGTTACCTACTTTCTTTCTAATCTTAACCCATTTTCCTGTATAACAGCATAACACCAAGGCAGCTCGCTATTTGTTCGCAGTCTTCCTTTCTATTCAACTCAGTGCTTATCGTCACCACTCACCACTTACCATCACCCCTTCTTTGTCCCCGGCTGCCGTTCACAGACTCCAGCTGCAAGCCGAACTTTTCCCAGATGATTGACGGCAGTGGGATATCACCGGGCGCGCCCGGAACCACGGCGGCGCCCACGGACGACGGCGCCGGATTCGACGCCGAGTCGATCGTCGGACTGGTGGTGTGGTTCGTCTGCGTGCTCTACTCGAGCATCCGGTGAGCGAGGGGAGGGGGATGCGCGGGTGGATATGGTTTGATACGGTTTGGGTGATGAGGTGAATGGTCTGCCTTCTTTAGCAATCTTTTTCTCTTATGTTGATCGCTGTATTGGGGCCCATGAATTAATTTCAGCGAGACTGAGATAGAACTATGTAATGTGCATCTTGCCTGTCTTTTTCTCTTTTGTCCATCCGCTAACCGACTCTCCGTGTGTATTTACTCGCAGCACTGCCAGTTCGTCTCAGCACGCCAAGCTCACTGGCTCCGACAAGATTTTGCTGAAGGATGAGGCGGGCTCTGGTAAGTTTGTTGGCGCGGACGTGAAGCTTCTTTTCTCAGTGAGAGAAAAAACATGATCCATAAGATTCAATGAAGAACAGGACCTTTGAAGGGCAGCAGCGTGGCAATTTTACGTTTTCTCTTACATTGTTTTTTTAAGGCAATTCTACAATTACGCTTTTATATTTCCAGTTGTGGCATTTCCGTTTTTTTCTAGGAGATTATGGCGACAATGTTCAACTCGTAAAATGTCCAGAAAGTGATCAGAAACCAACCGTCAACTTTGTCAACAAATCATTCAGTCCTACGTCTTCGATGGTGGAACCCATTCCCATCTTCCAGACAGGTCGAGAACGGGGCGTCTTATTTACCGGTCAGGCATGAGTGCTTATGGTTAAAACTATCTGCTAAGCTATGGGGTGTATTCCTAGTTTGTCACTGGCAAGCGTTTCATAATTGTGATCCTTCGCTATTGAGACATTTAAACTGATGAACTCTATCTTTTCATTGTTTCTTCAGTTTTTCACTTATTGAGAAGCCAATTCAGCCTGAAAAAAACTTATTTGATTCAAAAGATCAAGTACCAAGTCACCGTTGATGCTCATTAGCCAAAGTGTTGGACCTATTTGGAACACAGAACGTCGGTACCTTAAACCCATAAGCACGCAGTTTTTCACAGTAATTCCGCGAGTAGTACGTCCGTCGTTCTGACCTTACAAGGACGAGCTCATCACGCGGGTGTACCTGTCTGTTGTTTCAGGCGGCGCACCGCAGGACGCCGAGGCCCAGGTCTGGGACAACGAGGAGGACGGCGTCGCCTACAGCTGGTCCTTCTTCCACATCATGTTCGCGCTGGCCACCCTCTACGTCATGATGACGCTCACCAACTGGTACTCGTAAGTACCGACCGATAGTGGTGGGATACTCGCCAACTGGTACTCGTAAGTACTGACCGATAGTGGTGGGATACTCGCCAATTGGTACTCGTAAGTACCGACCGATAGTGGTGGGATACTTGCCAACTGGTACTCGTAAGTACCGACCGATAGTGGTGGGATACTCGCCAACTGGTACTCGTAAGTACCGACCGATAGTGGTGGGATACTCGCCAATTGGTACTCGTAAGTACCGACCGATAGTGGTGGGATACTCGCCAACTGGTACTCGTAAGTACCGACCGATAGTGGTGGGATACTCGCTAACTGGTACTCGTAAGTACCGACCGATAGTGGTGGGATACTCCCCATCTGGTACTCGTAAGTCATAAGTACCTCCTGATAGACTGGTGGGAAGGCCAATGGGTTATTATGTGTGATGCTCATCGGAACTCGGTAAGTATCTACCGATAGTGATGGGATGCCCACTAACTGGTACTCGGTAAGTACCTCCCGATAGTGATGGGATGCCCACTAACTGGGACTCGTTAGTTACGTACTCGGCAGCCGGACGGGGTATGGGGAATATGTGCGAATTATAGTAGGGAGAGATGACCTGGCGGTAGAAAGCTGTAGGCCTGTAGGGTAGGTAGTAACTAATTAGTTATGGCCGAGAGAGTCTTGTATCCCCCTGTGCTTGTTCATGGCATTTTCCTGGTTATATTCACTTTTGAGCTCTGAGTTATGATACACCAACTATTCAATTACGAATTTACTCTCCTATGGGATTTGACATGACTTGATAGAACATGTGTATTGATATAAACGTTCGTTGCATATTTAAATGCATGGTATTGAGCCAGTCAGTGTTCAAAAGTGTCCCCAACTTTTGTGTGATGCAAATTGCAGATGTCCGGTTTGTCATTGCATGTGATTCGCTCTTGAGTTGTCTGCGTGTTGTGTCGTGCAAGTTAGGCCGTGCCATGCTGAGTAGGTACTAGGAACTGAGAGTTATTTCTTTCCATGCCTCTTGCGATCTACAGGCCTAACGAAAGGTAGGTAAACGGTACCTGCGGGCCACTCAAACACTTGCACGCAGCACGATTCCAGAGCATGAGACTGTTTTGGCGACATGTTTTGCGGTCTAACGGTGAAGTACGTGATCTTGCTAATGCCTCGAAACTGACTGTGTTGTGCAGCCATTGGCTGTGCATTATTGGTGTTGCTGTCAAAAAGAAAAAAATCATGATGGGGGCATTAATGCCTCTACTTGTCACGCTCATTAATTGATTCCAATCACATACTAGGGACTTGTCCAATGTATTCAGAGGCTAGAGCTTTGGTAACAAACCTCTTGTGAACGGAGGGCTTTCATTTTGCTTCGCTTTATGTTGGATGATATATGACTTCCGTGTTGTGCTTCGCTTTGTTGAGGTGTAAGATCTCGTTATATATATCCGGGGCTTCAGGCTACGATTTAACACGTTAAGCTATTGCATGCACTCCATGAATTGTCGGATGGTTATTGCCTATGCTACATTTGATGCAATTAGTCCCTGACGCTTTAGCTTCATGAGGTATATTTCTACTTAGCTTCTTTTGAATATGTTTGAGTCCAGCCCTCTGGAATGTCTCACTGGTAATCATCTCCATTGGTCATTGCTCATTTTTTTCTGCATTGTGTGTCCATTGTGGGGACGAACGGAACGCAAAGTAAGGACCGCCGCTGTGTGTGACGCATGTTTTGGAATGGTGCCGTAACCGCTCCATCCCAGACCACCTATCCATCCCTTCGCAATACCGACCGTCGCTGTTCTGTCCCCACAGCCCCAACTCTGACCTGCGCTCGCTCTCCAAGAACGCCGCCTCCATGTGGGTGAAGATCGCCTCCTCCTGGGTGTGCCTGGCGCTCTACGCCTGGTCGCTGGTGGCGCCGCTCATACTCACCAACCGCGACTTCAGCTAGTGGCCGCGCCCCACAGATGGCACCACCAGCGCGACCGGACGCCATGTAAGGGCGCCGAAGACGAGCTGAAGAGGATAGGAATGACGATCGGATGGACCGAGAGATGAGAGGCGCCATATGTCGGGAGGACGGAACACTGATAGATAGATGGCCAGGTGCAACTGGTGCGAGCTCGAGGTTGTATATTTTTACTTGCAAAGAAGGGAATATATAGATGTTTTATATCCAAGAAGGTAGCTCGGCCCGGAAATCTGAAAGATAGGGACAGTTAGTTGTAATCTACCGTCGGGGTCTGTACTGTCTGTCGGTTCTGTGACTGACGGCTGTAGTTTTGTTCACTATTCCCACCATCGAAAGCTTAAGTTTGTCTGAATCATGCGGGGTCTCTGCGAAATGGTTGCTAGGTAAATAATCCACCCACAGTTACTCCTTACTTCTTCTTACCCCCCCCCCCCCTCCTTCCCCCGTATCTCAAATGATACCGTTCTGACCTAACCGTCGTCCCGAGAAGCGTGATTAGTTTTATCGTATGGGTGAATTGTACCTGAATGGATCGTTAACCCGCGCACCGACGGGGGGGGGGGCGGATATCCGCCCCCCCCCCCCTGAGGTTTTTCGCGAATAGCGGGAAAACCGCGGCGCGTAGCGCCGCGAAATTTGGTATGACTATACCCTCATCAATTTTACACATGGTGTGCAAGTTTGAACCTCCAACCTTTCAAGGTCAGGTCACCAGGTCACTTTGAATGACCCAACCTCAAGTCACTTTTTTGCAACTTTGTCACCGTGCCAGAGCTACAGTAGATGTCGGAGGCCTTTGAAAGTCGCAGGATGTTATTAGGTCATTAGTAGCTACAATTTGTATATCTCGGAATTTTGATATCGGTGACCTAAGGTCAGGTCAATTTCGCGACCTCCCCATTATAAGTCAATGGGGGAAAAATCAACTCCCTGTTTTTACCACTAAAACGGGTCGGAATGGCCCCATATACCATACATGACTTCATATACGATCAACCTTCACTACCTTGAGGTCTGTTTTGCTGTTGGGCAGCTGTGAGGTCATGTGACGTCATCAAAGGTCACCAAAGGTTTTTGGCCAATAACTCCGTACAGGAACAAGATACAGACGCGTGGATGGTCTCATTGTGTTCAGCTCGTCAAGACGCATCGAATGATATACATGATGACCTCGAGGTCACGTGACCTGAGGTCAACCTTTGACCTTGACCTTTCGAGGTCAACATATATATCATTCGATGCGGATTGACGAAGGGATCACGATGCTGCCCTTAGTTTGTTCCTATCTTGACTAATTCGAAAGTTATTCGAGAAAAACTGTCTCCATATCCAGCGCCGCCATTTTGACTTTTTCGACCCCTGTGACGTCATCTTTGACCTGACCTGAAAATGACCTTAGTAAAAATTGTAGATCTTGACCGTGCGTATCCGATGCCGTTTACCGCTTGTCGCTATCTTGCTTCGTTCTCGAGATCTCAGGGGGGGGGGCGGTCATCCGCCCCCCCCCCGTCGGTGCGAAGTTGGCGCAGACCCCCGTCGGTGCGCGGGTTAAGAACAATGGTCTACTTATCTGAACTGTGCTAGCGTAAGGTCCAAGCGAACGGAAGCGAATGATGCCGCATCGCGTTAGTTATAAGTCCTTACACGTCCGTGATTTTATGATAGCCAGATGTGAATGTGTTGCTACCGGTTAGTCGCCGTTTCTGAGGTCTGAAGGTGCTTTCTGCAGCTTAAGAAAAAGTTCATGCCCCGTACTGTGGATTCGCATCCGTCTATAGTGTTACCATCTTTTAGCCACCACTGCTAAAATCAATGAGCTGGTGCGCATACTTTCCGCTAATGGCCGGCGATATCTCGATTAATTACTAACCACACTACCTGTATCGATAATAAAATGTGCTTGTGCTTTCATTTAGTACTTATCACTGGATGTTAAATGCCTGGCACAGTCGCGGTTTACCGTTTCTTTGTAGTTATATATTATGTTTGGTGCTAAAGATGTTCACCTATTCATCAGTTAAATGTATCAGTTATCTACCCAGGAGAACGATGTATTTCCAAGCGTGGCTCCAATGTCGTCTGTGGTATGCCAATATGCTACTATTTTGTGTACTTCTCATTGTATACCCATTGTATACTTCCTGATTACTGCGCGCGGCTAACGATCTGTGGGCGTCGTTGCCAGCACCGCGGCAGCCGCTGCTTTCCGTCGGTGTCCACAGTCAATGTCCGGTGTTTTACCAAATACACGAGTTGTAACAAACCCTGCCCAGTCTGCCGAAAAGCCATGAAACGTACCATCCACAGCAGAAGTGGTAGTTCGATAATTACGGAAGCACACCTGTGAGGTAACATGATTTCCTTTCAGTCTCTGATCCTATCCTCCCACTGGCTTGTTCCGAAGCTGCAGATTACGTAAGATTGCGTAAGATGTTGCTTAACTGCAGTTGCTATGGTGCATTGAATGCCTATATTAAAACAGACTAATTCACATCGTGCAACATCGTGCACCGTCCCTTCATCGCACAAACACTGCGCTTATCCAGCACACCGAACTATACAATTAAACGGAGTTGTATTGCTGATCTATCTCCCCCCCCCCCCCCACACGCACACACAATATATGGCACATGTACAGAGCTGCTACTGCACGACGCTAGGGTTAAATACGCAGACAAATACAACAACAAAGTGCGCAATTCCACAAAAAAAGGCCTCAGAAAATACAATGGACTGAGCTGGGTCGCTATCAGCACGACGGCAGGGTCGTGGCCTAATTACTCGCCCCAGGGCTACTACAGGGCGATGCTAGTTACATAGAGCGGCAGCGGAATCGGGATCCTTTCTGTTCGCACGCAGTCCGCCAGAGAACGTGCGAACCGCGCACAAAATATACAACATGGTAGTGCATGCATGATACACAGATAAACATCAGCTGTTGCAGTTCGCAGAAAAAAATACCGTCGCAAAAGCAGTCAGTTCAACACTCGTTCGGGCAATTCGCGCAGCCACTTGCACAGTTCGTGACAAACAACGCCGACTGTCATCCAGCTAAACTCCATTCAGTCACAGACTTCTCTATATATGGACTGTGCGCTGATTTGGGAAATCAGCATTGGAGGCCCAAATTTCTGAAGCCGTAATATGAACCCATATGTTGTAACACAATACCCTTTTATTGTTTCCTGTCGACAGGCTGAATTTTATGTAATATATTTTGTTTTTGTACTATCTATTGCTCGTAGCTCAGAATAAGAAAGGCTTCTGGTCGATATGAATCTGTATTGGAACATCATTTCACGTTCATCGACACCCATTGATGTCTTCATGTCAAGTTCATCTCACATTGCACCAGTGGGCTTGAAAACTCACCGCAGGATCCAGCGAGAAAGGGTGGCTATCATCCCTTTCTACTTCCCCAGTGTGCTGGATTGTTCACATCTCTGACATGGCTGGCTACAAACTCGCGCGACAGTGCACCGACCGCGCTGGTGGTAAAGGTTGGCGGTAATGCCGATGGGGGACTTTACGGGAAAATGTGTGTCTGCTGCAACGGTGTCTTCACTGTTCTTCTCTGCTACCCACTTTTTCGCACCACGCATCTACACATAGTCGCACTTTCACACATTCGCACATGCGCATCACCAATTGCAACGTATCCCTCCGTCTGCTCGTTTTCCACTCGCTGCTGAATGATAAGGCGATAGCTCTTGTGACGGTCGTTCCCATCACGTTATCATGCTGTAGCTATTGTTGCTTTTATTGTGTCCCTTCGTCCCATGGAGACGTAGCCGAGCAGCTCTGAAGGGACCTGTGGGCGGCCCCCAGGGCCACCACGATGCTGCCGCTCCGCACCTCCTCCATGTTGGGGTTGATGGTCGCCATCAGGCGATGTCGGGTGCCCATCAGAGCCGGGCACCGCAGGAGGACATGCTTGGGCTGTCCGCCTCCTCTCAGCAGACGGGTAGAGTGCGGCTCTGCATTGTCGGTCGTCGCACTGGTTGCACCCCGACAGCCAGGAGGGCGCCAACCCGACTCTGTGGCGCCATTGGGAGGAGCTTGTCCAGTGGCCGGCGCGGAGCTGGTGGATGTCCACCGCCGCTGGCCGATCGCCGCTGGCAACGGTAGGCGGGAGTCGATCCCCGTCAGCTGGTGGAACCAGCCGGCTGGCCAGGCCCCGACGGTGCGAGCCCTCGCCACTCTGGCGGCGGCCCAGTGGGCCTTCTGGACGTCTATAAGGATTTGTTTTTAGTCGAGTATGTTTGCCTTCTTGGCGATGGTGTCGGCCCTCTCGTTGCCTTCCAACCTGCATTGTGAGGGCACCCACTGTAGGTAGACCAACAGGCCTCCAGCTGTCAGTCCCCAGAGGGCTCTCCAGATGTCCACTCCGAGCGAGGAGTGCTGGGCGGCCCAGCCACCTCGGATGGCGGCGAGGGCGGACTGCGAGTCGGTGCAGGCTACGATGGTGTCTTCGGCGTGCGGCGGGTTCTCCAGCAGCTAGGAGAGAGCAGCTCGGAGGGCGACCATCTCAGCTCGGAAGCTGGACCACAGGTAACCTGCCGGGGCGCGGATCGAGTGCTCTTCCCCGTTCGGCCAAACGATTAGTGCCCCCGGCGCCTCCGTCATATTCTGTAGCTCGTTACTTACAGTATGCTCTTCGCCCTTGGCACATTTCTTGGCTTCTCCATCAAAAATGTCCACAGCTGGCCTAGAAATGGTGACCTGCCAGTTTCCTGAGATATCCAAAGTAGAAGTTCCTGTAATAACAGGCCACCACCGGCACAGATGTTTGTCCCAGCTACTTATACTCCAATCAGTCCTATGCATCTTGTTTCTGCTCCACCGCTATTTTTCCGTCCGTTCTTCGCAGACTGGCGTATTCTTGAGCTTCCCGATCCCGATGCAAGTTTTGCGGTAACATTTAAGAGCGGCAACCTTCATCGTTTAACATTGATGCGAAGGGTACGAATTCCATCATTTCATCGAGCATTCTTCCGAGATGATTTGATCCAGACCATAATGAACTACAACCCCATACGACACACTGGATAAACTTCATTGTTTGATTGAATAAGCTTACTTCTTTTGGATGTAGTGGCGTATCACTGCCATGGGTATGGCATTATTTAGCGCGGCGTAGCTTCGAACTGCGATGGCGAATTGTTCTTTTCACATTAACTGCTGGTCAAGTTAAGTCTTTGTAGCTCCTTTCAGTGAGTCTTTTTTTCTCCAGAATAAAATAAGGCACTAGGCATTATAGGAAGTATGCTGAGACTGGCGCCGTCGATAGCGTCCTGTTTTTCTTCTTGCTGTGTGAGTCTCACAGGAGTCAGTGTTTGCAAAAGTACACTTGCAAATCTGATTGTCCTCAGCGTTATCTCTTATCTCGATTGACGGTTTCGTCTGTGAACATTTTTTCCTTTTAGTTATACGGGGGGTTAAAAAGTTGCCTTTTTGCTAGAAATTATGTTTCGTTTCACATTTTTCTTGCCCTGACTCTGGCTTGATACCCGGAATGACATCTTCGCACCACACGTTTTCTGATCCGGTCGTGATGAGGTAGTGATCGATAATATTCTTTCCTTTTTTGACCATTTTATCGAGCTATTTCTTACTTATTTTTACTGCTTCTTGTGGCCCTATATAATGTATCGTTATTTCTCAAAACCCTTTTCAAAACCAACGTAAATGACTAGTTCCGACAAATTAGCAACGACAACCAACAATGCAACCAACATTCAAAAGCAAGAAAATGCGCGCAAAGTACGGCTGCATTTGTGAAGTATATACCTCCAGCGTGAACAAATGGCTAACTGAACGAGAAAACATGTTCTCATTTATATACATTTATTTCTTATTTATTTTGAATTCAACAAAAAAATGTAATCCGACAGGTAGATAAAAGTATGGGCTATCCTATATCCAAATTTGTGAATATTCTGACACCCTTTTCATTGTAAAAAGATGGATAAAAGTGCACTTATTTTTGGGCCTCCAATGCTGATTTCCTCGGATCAGCGCACAGTCCATATATAGAGAAGTCTGTGATTCAGTCTATCACATATAGCGTATGTGCAAATAACAGCGATAGCCTTGCAATGATGAGCGCGATTTATGAAGCGCAAATGAGAGAAGTGCGTGGCCTGGGCCCGGTGAGATGAGTATGCTAATGCCCTGACGAAACTACAGGAGCGGCGTGTCAGCCAGGTCGTGTCACAAAGCTACAACGGTGAGGTCAAGTGAATGTGCGCAGATCACTGGCTGGGTCCGCCAGTGATCGGAAAACTAGCTAATGTCGGTGAGATGTAGGTTGGACCTACAGTATGCGAATAGTGGGCGGAGAGAAGTCGTAGCTGTGAAGGAAACCCTTCGCGCCTCCACGGCGTGCTGCCAAATATCAGCTGACGGTGTCACCGCCTCACCCTGTCTTCTGTCGCTGGTCGTCACTAGCACCAAACACCCTCCTCGGTCTTATGTCAGCACCAACACTACACTGCATAACCCGTCTGTAGTTAAACGTTCGTCTCTATCACCCGCGTCCACTATATAAACCTGAAGCACTTTTGTTTGTCCTGCGGTAGCCGGGTCTTGAAGAGCACCGAGTCGACCCTAAACTGCGTGTTCAGCAGCGGCATGTAGCCGAACACGCGGGAGAAGAAGTTGATGCACTTGTGTCGCTCGATGAAGTGTTCCTCGTCCTCAGAGAGCGTGACCGGACAGCCGGGGCAGCGGAACGTCCAGCGGGACGTCACCTGGAGGAGGGGGAGGGGGAGGGGGAGAGGGGAGGTCAGAGACTGCTCCTACCGGACAGCCGGGGCAGCGGAACGTCCAGCGGGACGTCACCTGAGAGAGGGGGAGGGGGGAGGTCAGAGACTGGTCCTACCGGACAGCCGGGGCAGCGGAACGTCCAGCGGGACGTCACCGGGCGGAGGGGGAGGGGTCAGAGACTGGTCCTACCGGACAGCCGGGGCAGCGGAACGTCCAGCGGGACGTCACCTGAGAGAGGGGGGAGGGGTGAGGTCAGAGACTGGTCCTACCGGACAGCCGGGGCAGCGGAACGTCCAGCGGGACGTCACCTGAGAGAGGGGGATGGGTGAGGTCAGAGACTGGTCCTACCGGACAGCCGGGGCAATGGAACGTCCAGCGGGACGTCATCTGGCGGCAGGGGGGAGAGGGGAGGTCAGAGACTGCTCCTACCGGACAGCCGGGGCAGCGGAACGTCCAGCGGGACGTCACCTGAGAGAGGGGGAGGGGGGAGGTCAGAGACTGGTCCTACCGGACAGCCGGGGCAGCGGAACGTCCAGCGGGACGTCACCGGGCGGAGGGGGAGGGGTCAGAGACTGGTCCTACCGGACAGCCGGGGCAGCGGAACGTCCAGCGGGACGTCACCTGAGAGAGGGGGGAGGGGTGAGGTCAGAGACTGGTCCTACCGGACAGCCGGGGCAGCGGAACGTCCAGCGGGACGTCACCTGAGAGAGGGGGATGGGTGAGGTCAGAGACTGGTCCTACCGGACAGCCGGGGCAGCGGAACGTCCAGCGGGACGTCATCTGGCGGCAGGGGGGAGAGGTCAGAGACTGGTCCTACCGGACAGCCGGGGCAGCGGAACGTCCAGCGGGACGTCACATGGCGGCAGGGTGAGAGGGGAGGTCAGAGACTGCAGTGGGGGGGGGGGGGGGGGGTCCGAGGGGAGGCGGCCAGACCTGGGACATCGCGAATTACTTTGAGCTGCGAGCTAGACAAACCTCACGCCTCGTGGTGGTCACTGTAGCCATCGTAGTTCAACATATCAAGTGCACATGGTGGTTTCAATGAGTCCAAAATCCGTCTGGTCGTCCACGAACAATATTCACGAAATAAGAGGTTAACCCATTATGACCAGTCACAATTAGTTGAAGTGACCAGGAAATCTACCGAACTCCAAGCTAATCAGTGAATCACACATACCATGCCTGAACGCAGTATACACCACACAACACCGAGCACTGCAGCTACGGCCCCGCTGTCCCCCACCAGCACTGCAGCAGCGGCCCCGCTGCCCCCCACCAGCACTGCAGCAGCGGCCCCGCTATCCCCCACCAGCATTGCAGCTGCGGCCCCGCTGTCCCCCACCAGCATTGCAGCTGCGGCCCCGCTGTCCCCCACCAGCACTGCTGCGGCCCCGCTGTCCCCCACCAGCACTGCAGCAGCGGCCCCGCTGTCCCCCACCAGCATTGCGGCTGCGGCCCCGCTGTCCCCCACCAGCACTGCGGCCCCGCTGTCCCCCACCAGCTGCAGCCCCGCTGCCCCCCACCAGCACTGCTGCGGCCTTGCTGTCCCTCACCAGCACTGCAGCTGCGGCCCCGCTGTCCCCCAACAGCAACCCTGCGGCCCCGCCGTCCCCCACCACCCACCTTGACCGGCGGCTGCCGGGTGAGATGCGAGATGAGAAAGTTCATCGCGATGTCCTCGCAGTTCATGTATTCATCCACCTTGTCTCTGATCACCTGCGGCATCCACTCAGAGTACATGTGCGCGTAGTACTTGTGGAAGAACGCCGCGCCTGCGGGGTGCAGAGAGGGGCGGTTTAGTGGTCAGTTCACTCAGGTTAGTTCGTTTGTAGTCAACACAGTATATTTACTTCACGCAGTTTATTTATCCAATGCAATGTTTTACCATGTTAAGTTGAAAATTAAAATTAGGCTAATTATGCGATAGATGTAATGATAAATTCACAACTTAGTTCCTATGTGTAATATATCGCGGAACAGCACCGGCGACATCAGGATCAAGGCTGCGACCGTTCACCGTCCAGCGGGCGGGCGTCCACTGTCCACCGTCTGCCGTCCACCCACCTGTGAGCACCATGGAGAGCTCGCACGAGTAGTTTGAGTTGTAGTGCCAGCCGCCGAAGCGTGTGTCCCACGCGTTGAACCGGCCCGGGAAGCCAACCAGCCTGTCTCGCTGCTCGCGCCACACGCGGAACCCGAACACGATCTCGTCGTGTCTCAGGTGGGCGTCGTCGTCGATCGACAGAACGGCGTCCGTCTCTATGGCGTCGAACGGCAGGAAGCGGTTGTTGAGGCTGTTTTTGCCCACGCGCACCACCTCGACGGGCACGCCGACGTTGGGCCACTGGAGTGTCTCGGCGGGCGGCTCGGGCGTGTTCCAGACCACCACCACCTTGTTGAGGTAGGGCAGGCCGTACAGGTGGCCCAGCGCGCTGAGCAGCACCTGCTCGCGCCGGTAGGTGAGCATCACCACGGTGAACTGCTCGTGCGGCGAGTTGCCGCCCAGCGACTCGCTGAACTCCTTGCCGGATCCGCCCTCGCCGGCCGCCACCGGACGGAAGCCCAGCCGGGGACCTGGCCGAGCGCAGGTGGCGGTCAGAGGGCGAACGAGCCGCAGCACAGACTGAGCCAGTGACTCAGAAAGGAATACTGCAACATGAATGTGACGATATTATTTGCCACATGCGGGTTTTAGACAGTTTTATCAAGAGCCAGCTCCGAGGCTGGAAAATCCATCACTCGACAGAAACAGTCGACAGAAGCAAGCACAGTCACCATGGCAATATCTCGCGACATTTCCCACAAAACCACCAACATCCTGCTGGTCTCGTGACGACTACCCATCGCCCCCCCCCCCCCCTCCCCGCCGCGCGGTCACATACCGACAAACTTGGCCTCTGCGGGCAGTACGTCGCCGTAGGGTACGGCCGGGTAGAGCCGGTGCGGCGCCAGGAACAGGTTCCAGCGGGCGTAGCTGTCCAGTCGGGGCGTGGTGAGGTTCCGCTGGTAGGCCGCAGAGGCGTGCGGCGTCTCGATCGGTCCCAGGTACTCGTCCAGATCCAGCGTGGAGAGCTGCACGTCCACCGTCACACGCTGGACGGGGGAGAGGAAACGTGAGAATAGCGACAACAGTGTGGTTATGCACTGGCAAAACGGAGTTGCATAGAAAAACGTAAAAAAGCACTGTAACTCGCTGTGTGCTGGAACTGAATACAAAGGCTGGTGATGCGACAGGATAAGGCCCGATTTGACAAAGCGGGACAATTTATTTAATCATGGAGTATAAAAACCCTCGTATGAAAACCTTGGGACCACGCCCTTAGCTCCTAAAAGTGTCCAACAGGCGATCGTGGTCGTGTATTATCAGCAGTCATATATCAACGATCGTGCCACGTACATACCTGGAAGGTGTCGTTGAAGACGCTCTGTGCTGGTACGGCGGCGGCGGCCGGCGGCGGCAGCTCCAGCCGCTCGGCCAGTTGGGTCAGCAGGGCGTCGGCCACCGCCTTGGCAGAGCTCAGGTAGTGCTCCCATAGCTGTCGGGCAGCAGAGGGACACGGGAAGGCGGTTAGCGGGGTGGGGTCTGGGGAGTGAATTGTAGTGTGTTAGTACCGCAACGTCGACGAGTGATCACAGCTCGCGTGTCGATAGAGCATGATACACCTTGAACATGCTGATAGTAAACTAATGGTGCACATTGCACATGTTCTAATGATATTCCTGGGTGCTCATTAAGCCATCCTCTAGCACCACAATATCGGAGCATCTTCACTCAGTCATCAGACCTCTGTATCAGGTCGAGTTGCCCCTCACACTTCCTCGACGAGGCGGGCTAGATTCGGCATAAACGACGACATGGTTTATGGCGAATCTAGCCCTCCTCACTCACCCTGTCTTCGGCCTCCCCGTCCCTCCCCATTCCTCACCTCGCGTCCGTTCCTGCGGTAGCTGAGTATGTCGCCGTCGGTCAGTGAGCGCAGCATGTAGTGCAGCTCACGGACCCGCGGCTCGGCCACCCGCAGCACCGCCCGCCGCCAGTCGAGCACTCCCTCAAACGGTAGCGGCCACTCGCCCAGCAGCACGGGCACGGCGCCGGCCCGCAGCGCCTCCGTCAGCCGCTGCTGCACCGCGCCGCCCGGCGGCAGCAGCAGCGCGAACGTGGCGTTCCCGAGTCGCTCGGAGCGCTGCTGGGCCGAGCCGCAGAGCCGCCAGCCGCCGGCCGCCGCAGACACGGGGGGCGGCGCGGCGGCCGGCGCGTCCTCGGGACACCGGAACTCTGCGTGCACCACGTCCCGGGTGTGGGACTGCGAGAGCGACTGCAGGCTGGACGTCAGCTCGTCGGTGCGCGCCCAGCGCTGGCCGGCCGCCAGCTCGCCCTGGAAGGAGACCAGCACGGGCCGGCGCGCCGGCACCAGCGGCGGCAGCGTCTTCCAGGGCACGCCCTGCAGCGGCCCGTCCACGCTGGGCAGCACCAGGTCGAACCCGGGCCGCGGCGGCGCGCCGGCGTCCGGCGTCCTGACCAGCACCGCGCGGCCCGTGTCGACAGAGTCCAGGGCGGCGGCGGCCGGCGCGCTAGCCGCCACCAGCACGTGGTTGCGGCCGTCCCCGGACCAGTGTTCGGCCGCGGTCAGCAGCCGCTGCAGCCGGGCCGGCTCCGGCGCGCCGCCCACCACCAGCACGTACGCACAGACGGCGGCCGGGTCGGAGCGCCACTGGACGTTGCTGCGCAACGCCTCGAGCAGCCGGCTGGCGGCCGCGTCACTGGCGTCGCTCAGCGGCCGGTACAGGTGGAACGAGAAGCCGCCGGTGATGGGGCAGAGCGAGTAGTCCCAGCACTCCGGCAGCGTGCAGCGGCGTCGGTCGGCGGCCGGCGGCGGCTCCAGGGCCGGCCGCGGGCCCGGCTCGGCGCGCAGCGGCCGCGGCCGCGCCAGCAGCGGGGTGTCGCGCTCGGCGGCCTCCAGCTGGGCGGCGCGCGCGCGCTCCACGCTGTACTTGAGCCGCTCGTACTCGAGCTGCAGCCGGGAGAGCTGCTGCTTGAGCTCATCCACCCTGCCGCTGTATGTCTCCAGTGACTGGTGCAGCTTGTTACGCTTTGCCTCCAGCTGGAGCAGCTCGTTACTGACAGAGTCTGCAAATGTGGCAGCAGAACAAGTGTCCGCATGACAGAGGTGTGAAACAAATGTAGGGATTACAGGCATATACTCAATGCAAAAGGAGCAGGTGTACTGGAACTAGATCATAACCCAAGTGAGAAGGAGCTATGTGAAAATCAAACAGAACAGCAAAGATTAACAAGATAGAGACAACCAAATGAAGGCAGGATGGAGAAAAAGAATGGTCATCACAGTACAATTTTTTGACAAGTTCGTTTCATTAGTTTATGTTGTAACCTACTTGTTATTCTATATTATTTTTACTTATCAACATCTGAGTAGTCTTAACAATTTAACAAAATGATGCATAGCCCCAAAACTAAAAACAGTTAAAAGCCTACTCAAACAATATTGAAATACAAAGTTAAAAAAGCTGATTAACAAAGCATTCATACATCTGGACACTTACTTTTGATCCTGTTCATTTCATCGATCCTTCCTTTCAGATGAGCTGAGGAGTCACTGTTCAGGTCCACATTGGTCACCAGGGGATGTGCCTTCTGAGCCACTTGGGTCTGATGAACTAGAATCTGAAATGAAACGCATCAGCTGTCACTCAGGTACTAAATAAAAAAACCCTTACCAATACCATTTTCTTAAAATATATTCAAAACTTTCAAACAATGCTTCACTTCTTTTCAGTCTATATTCTAGAATTTTGTTGCACTGAACCGGAATGTGAGATGGGTACCAACACAATAAGTTCCGAGACTTATTGGGCTCATGATGATATGGTGGCTCAAGATGGACAGCTTTAATACACATGCACATGTACCTATATTTTTTAAATGGCAACTATCATAATCATTTTATTGGTTAGCTAATGACTCACCTGAGACACATAATAATGCATCATTAGTGGAATTAAAATCAAAAGGAAAATGAGAATCAGCACAAGCGTTGACAGCTTCATGTGGATCAAATAGCTTATGGCTCGAGCAACACAAGAGTTTTGAGTTCTCGAGTGGTGAAATTCATTTTCAAAAGCCATTTCCGAAGCACTCATACCAGCTCATACGCATACCGCTCTACTGAAATTGAAATGTAAAAGCCGTAAAAGCATTGCCGGAGATCCACACACCACGGAGCTAACTACTTCGATGTCAACAGTCTTCTGGGATAAAAGCCAATAAGGGCGATTTTCTCGCTAGATAGCGAAACCTTTTCGTCTGTAATGACAAAGAGAAAGTGAATGTCACAGCTGCGCAATAAACGTACCAGATCCCAGAGCTCAAATAATATTATGTACATGTATTTGTTTTACCGAAACGTATACAAATGGTTATTTTTTATATGTAACCACTAAACATAAATATTTTACATCTGAATAATATAGATGTCAAGCAAACATAAACCAGTGTAATTGTTCAGTGTCCTTATGAGTTATGGGATTACGATCAATCTGCACGGGCCCACCGGCGAATCCAGCTCAGAGTTTGGGGGGGGGGGGGCAATTGGCAAACCATAACAATTTAGCGTTTCTGTCCATGCACTGTCTATAGGCGTAATGTTAAAATTTTGCCGATTGGGAAGGGCAAATGCCCTATTTGTCCTCTCCTGGATCCGCCACTTCACTGAGTGCACGGGCCCGTGCCGGTCGTGCCCCCCCCCCCCCCCCAGGCCACCACCACCATCTCAATGGGCCCCTAATATTTAGATCGCCGAGGACCGTCTAATGAGCTGAAATGATGATTGAAAAAGGCTTAAAATAGCCCTCATCTGGCGTCAAAGGCCCTCGGATGGCCTCAAAGAGTCCTCAGTTGACGTCAAGCGGACCCCAAAAGGCCTTAGGTATAGGGCGTTAAAGAGCCCTGAGCTGACGTCAAGCGGTCCTCCGAAGGTCTCAAGACTCAAAGGGCCCTTAGCTGGCGTCAGAGGGCCCTCAGCTGGTCTCAGAGGGCCCTCAGCTGGCGTCAAACGGCCATCAGGACTCAAAAGGCCTCAGACGGTCCTCAGCTGGCGTCAAATTGCCATCAAAAGACCTCAAAGGGCCCACGGCTGGCGTCAAAGGGCCCTTAGAAGGGGCCCTTGAAGGGCTCTCAACTGACGTTAAACGGTCTCCAGAATGCCAGTGAAAGGGCCCTCAGCTGGTGTCAAAGGGCTCTCACCCGAGGTAAATAAAGGCCCTTAGAGACCTTGCCGGCCCATGGTTATCTGAGGGGCCCCGGTTACTGAGGGGCCCCTGGTTATCTGAGGGTTCCCTAGTTACCTGAGGGATGAGGGGCCCCTGGTTATTAGAGGGTCCCCTGGTTACCTGGTGGGCTCCTGGTCAGTTGAAAGCCCCTGGTCACCTGAGAAGCCCCTGCTTACCTGAAGGGCCCCTGATCACTTCAATTCAGTGGCATAGCCAGGGGCGAGGGCCGAGGGGGTACGTGCCCGTTCAGCTTCCCTCGAACCCGAGGGGCCCTGCGGCGCCAAGGGTTTAAACCGGTTTAAACCAGACCCTGGCTGAAATAGGCCTACCCTGCTCCTAGGCCGAGCCGATGGTGCTGTTCAGCGCACGGAGGCGAGAGCCTTAGATATCAGGAACTCAAGCAACACGTGCGACCAGGCGCGCACACATAATTTTTGGATGAGTCGGCAAGGTCCGAGAGACCTTGCCGGCCTCTGAGGGCCCTTGGCGGCCAATGAGAATCATCTGCACGCCGGCCCCACACCCGTCTGTGATGTTCCTGCACGGCCACGACCCACACGTGTGTTTCGAGGGCCCCACAACGACGCCGGCGAGGCCCCTCGTGGCCACCTCGAAGGGCCCCACACCAGCACCTTTTAAAGTGACCAATGTACATTTTTTCAACTTGACAACAATCGGACACTGTACCAGGTACCTACCTAGGTTTGACGACTTTTTTGTCCAACCAACTTCCCCGGAAATTGGAAAAGCTCCATGGTCTCCACCCATCCGGACTTGTGCCTATGCCTTATCACGAGCATGTTTGCAAGTACAAACAACAAACCTTCCGTTCATTCTGTCATTCTACCTTTTTTTTAAGACCTACCTCGTCGCTCAAAAATAAATTTGTGGCGAGCAAAAACCATTTAAAATATCTCTGATTTTATTTGTAAAATGGATAACACTAAATTCAATTTAATATATGAAATTTAGGCATTATTGATAACACTGCGCTTCTTATCGATTTCGGCTTCGATGCTAGGGTCAGTTAAGTCAGCCTTAAGTCAAGAATAGGTAGATACGTGCGATGGACAAGATGCTGTCATCCTACTTTGATGCATGAAATAAAAGCATTTGTCCGTTCTTCACAGTAGGTAATGCATCCCATTTCGGTGTTCAATCTTTGTATTAGTTGGCTATGGAATATCAAGCTTTCTCATTCATCGATGTGCGACACAGTTATAACTTATAGGCATTATCTCAAAACCATCTGGGTTTCAACTTATAAATAAAACTCATCTGGCGTATTTCACGGTAATAATGATTCATCACCGGTCCCATACCACCGCGCTGTCACACTCTGTGGCGTGAAACATTAATAAATGTTGATCGGTAAATCCAGCCGCAGGGGTCTCCTAAGGGAGGGGACTGCGAGACGTCGTTTTGAGCGGCGCTGCAGTGCGTTGGTTGCGTCTGCCTGTGGCCGCCGCCGGCGTCACCTCCCCCCCCCCCCCCCCCGTGCCGCTTTGTGCCTCGGTCATAGCCGCGAGATGACTCACTGCAGGGGAACGGTTCCAACCGAGAGGGTTAGACAAAGTTCGGGGCGGGACGGAGGCCGTCACTTTAGTCACCACAGCACGCCTTGCCGGGAAGGCTGCGCTGGAGGCACCTCACTCGTGTGAGCCCGGCCAGAGTAATAACGAGCACGGGCCGGTCGACTCGGAGGGACGACGGCGGCGGGTCGGACGGCTCACCACCCGGGCTGGTTAGCGAGGATGGTGGACCGGATGGCGGCGGGGTCGGACGGCTCACCACCCGGGCTGGTTAGCGAGGATTGATGGTGGACCGGCTCAGGTAGCCGGCCAAACGGGAGCAGCAGCAAACAAATACACACATTCCCCAGTGAAATACGACCGGTCAGCGCTGGCCCGTGGTCTGTGCAGTCTGCATTGCAGTCAGTGGCTAACTGACGTGCAGGCTAACTGACTGATGCTGCCGAACTGAGGAGTGCTGATGACCGCGCAGCATGCCATTGACTTGGCTTGAGAATGAATTAAACATTCACTTTGTACGCGACCAACACAGATAAGTTGGCTAAGTTGCGAGGAGACCTGTCTAGCCTGCCTGCGTGGAATGGTCTCATACACCCTGACCCATACATTTGACGCCGTGCGCTTCATACTTCCCAAGAACGCTAGCTGGTTTATTCATGGAAATATCCGAAAATCGTTGTGGTGCTGCAGTGGTCTTAAACGGAACCGTTACGTGTCGAGTTTTATAATATAGCATAATACGATCATAACCGTACACGGGAACACGTATACATGGCGGTCGGCGTATGGCTCCAGTGAATGAAGTGGTGAAATCATACCTACACACCAGCCATCCAGCGTCACTGGTTAATGGCAGCCCCACACTCCCACCTCGAGTGGCAGCCCCCTGTTGTTTCTGCTACTGCTGCCCCATCCCACGCCGCAGACCGGGAGCTAATAGCCAGTTTGCCAGAAACATGATCAATGGTCTTCTGGGCGCCGGCTAACGCCACTTCCATAATCGAGTCCCTGTGCGCGCAAAACCGTAAAATATTCCGGCCGGCGAAACAATTTATCAAATTCGAAATGGTTTTGTCGATTTTCTCTGTTGTCTGGCTGCGCGTTTTAATTGAGAGAATAACCATTTCCCCACGCCACCCGGGATAACCGAGTATTTTCTATTCATGCAAGCGTTCGACCAGATGAGCCGATATCTCGCCACCGATGCGTTGTCTGGGTGATCCCTGCCCTCACGAAGCAGGCTACTCAGAAGCGCCGCCTCCGTCACCGGTTTATCAGATCGGACGGGTGTCGGCGCCGGCGGGTCGGCCTGTCGCCCTCAGAAGCCGATACCATCTCGAGGACAGGAGGGCACGTGTCATAGCTGGTCCCGGAGGACACTTCTGCGAGAGGGAAGTGCCACGTTGGTGCTAGCTTCAGCGAAAACGTGTAAAGAGACATGACTGTTCCGAAGTCCGAACTGCACCAGAGCTCAGAACGGGTTATTCAAGAATGGATGAGTGGGAAATGTGTGCCTTCTGTCAAAAACCGCGGTGCATTATGCTGGTGCCACGATCCCTGGGTCCATTATCTTACCAAATGACGTGCTTGCGCATTCACGGCATTTGGTAACATTCAGAACTACATATTCCACATTCACTTATTCATTCGTTCAGGCAAACTTTCTAATCATTCACGCCATCAAAATCATTAGACAAGATTAGCTGGATGTAAATAAAAAGGATATCTTTGAAATCAGTGCCGTTAACTCCGCCCAGGGCTGCCAAATTCTATTTACGGCATTGGTAAGATTGGGCCCAGGTCTGCTCCCGTTGAGCGGATCGGCTCGGACCGGCCGTCGGTCGGCCAGGTCGGTCGCCCAGGTCGGTCGGCCCACCTTGAACCTGTGAGTAACGATCCGCGGTCGCCAGCCGGCACAGATTTACACACCCCGGCAACAAGTCTCATTTACGCTGAAATACGACCGTTCGCCTCAGCAGCTCCTAAGTGACGTCTTTTTAATTAATATCGAGTCGTATTTCATCATTCGTAGGTGCTTACATTAAAATAACAACTACATCGCCGACCACTGCAGGAAGCACTAAAACTCGTTAAAAGTCAATGCTGTTATTTGTACTTAATGCTAGCATAAATATCATATATTTACTTTTATTTTATTTCAGCATACTGAAATTGCATTATCATAAGTTGCTGTCCCTTTTTTCATTTTTACCAGCTTCACATTTGCGATATAACATTTACGTTGATTTACGTTAATTATATTTACGTTAATTATAGGTAGGTACAGATCATAAGAAGCGTACACGATCGAAAAGTCCTACAATCACAAGAAATGAAGTTGGCGCACAATGGCCGTTTTCACGACGGAATAGCAGGCATCTATTTAATCCCCATTTGATCCTTTGGTT